ACCACGATATGTGGATGCCAATGCCATAGTCCCTCTGTATCCATCACTGTCTGCCAGCCTGGTCCATGGGACATTATCTCAGATTCCACATCAAGAGAGTAGCATATTACTTCCCTACCAACAAGGAAACCAGGTTTACTACTATAATCAAAACACTATGGGCCCTCTGTTGTTTGGAGAGCCTGGTCCCTGCCTGCAATCATATGGCTCTGTGTCCTACACAGGGAGTGGGTTCTTTGCTCCTCAGCCTGAAATAGTGATGACACTCCAAGAGGTCCAGCCCACAGATGTCCCACCACCAGTCTCCACTTCTGGAATCCACTACTCTGTGTCTGCTCAACCTAACACAGAAACCAATTTCCAAGGTAAGCACAGACAGCAAAAAGGAATAGGATTAGCACCATACAAAGAAGGGGCCAATCTGCATCTGAGTAGTGGAGAGCTCACAAATATAGTTTTAAATATGGCGCCTCTACCACCTCACTCACAAAGTGATCTCTATTTTTAGGCATAAGCTAGAGAGGGCTGAGAGTATGGCTCAAATGGTGGAGCACTAATTTCACTTCAAACCTCAGTACTGGCATTAATTTCATTGGATAATTAAATAAATACATAAGAATTTATGTAAAAGTGTGAAGGACAGCTGTTCTGCCCTTAGATGTCACCAAAAGCACACTCAGTGAGGCCATGCTGTTCAATGTCCTTCAAATCCACTCCCTCTAATTAATCCCCTTCTTTATCTAGTTCTTTGCATTTGTTCCTTGCATTTCTTCCTTCTCAAAGGAAACAGGTCAGAAGATGTATATTTTGTGTATTTTGTAGGCAGGAAGTCTGCTCATGCTTGTGGCCTAGCTACTGACTGAGGAGACTGAGATCTGAGGATTGAATTCCAAAGACATTTTGAAAAGTCTTTCAACATCTTATTTTCAGTTCACAAACAAATGCACCTAGACACCTAAATAAAGTAATAATGCAGTAGCCCTAAGTCAAGCAGCCAAAGAAGAAAGGCTGAGTTAAAGCTCCACAAGCAATTTGTATATATGTGTGCATGCACACACACACACACACACACACACACACACACACACACACACACACACACACACGTGCGCACACATACACAGAGAAATGCACACAAACACACTAAAGGTTTCCTCCCCCAAGTCCCATTCTCTCAATTCAGGGTTAGAATCAACACATATTTGAGTAACAAGTATAAACATATGAGGCTTTCTAAAGTAGTTTTTGCTGTTGTTCATGGGTTTCACGACAGAGTCAAGAACATAGTAAGCAATCACTCTATCTCTGATCTAACATGAAGTCCAAATCATTTCTTTTTTTTTTTTTTTGTCGGTCATTTGGCTTGAACTCTAGGCCTGGGCGCTGTCCCTCAGCTCTTTAGCTCAAGGCAAGTGCTCTACCACTTGAGCCACAGTGCCACTTCCAGTTTTCTGGTGGTTTATTGCAGATAAGAGTCTCATGGACTTTTCTGCCCGGGCTGGCATTGAACTGCAATCCTCTGATATCAGCCTCCTGAGTAGCTAGGATTACAGGTGTGAACAACTGGTGCTGGGTTTCATTTCCTATTTTTAAAGCTTCTTTCATTTTTTTATTTCACTTACAACAAACCTATAAAGGAAAAAGAAAAGAAATGATGTCATCTAATTAGCACATTTTATATGGTTATTATATATCTTCTGACGTAGAGTCCTGTCCATGATCCTTAACACTGGATCCTAGAAACACCTTGTCCAGTGATGAAAAATGCCATTAAATTATTGGTGTGTGAATGGAACACCTACCAGGAACAGATTAGAAACATCCCTGAAAATGCACACTTCCCTAAAATTGCAGCGCCCAAGTAAAAAATTTTGTCAACCAGAAATTCCAGAGAGCTCCAAGGCCTACAAGCATAAATGCTGAAGTAATTGAGAAAACCATGTGTCACCTGACCTTGGAGACATTTCAATAAGAGATATATTATTAAACTCTTCTAATATCATGGCTGTGCTTCCAGCAAAGCCATACATAAACACAGATTAAACATTCAAATGAAATTCAGAACAAACTTTCAAAGCCTCTTGTTGCCATCCAAAAATAATAGAAAGCCAGGATGCCCCATTACTCTCTTTAGAAATTCCTAACATTTAGCAGCTGCAGGTCAACAGTAACTAAGTAGAGACAAGGGAGAAGTCTACACATGATAGGACCAATTTGGAAATTTTTTGTCTTGAGGAAAAATGGAATTGACTGTAACAATGGGTGGGCTTAACACAGTGCTGAGATGGTGAAAGACATTCATTTTAACCAGACTTTCAATTCATTCACAGATCTCAAACAATCCAATGTTTCTACTACAACCGATATCAAAGATACAGAAACTATCGATGAGATTCTCCTGCAGGAAAACTCTATGGTCACTAAGCATTCCACTGGTCAAGTCCAAAGGAACAAGCATGAAGCCTTGGAAAGTGTGGATAGAACTCCTGAGGTCAAAGTCGAATGCCAGCCCCCAGAGCTCCTGCTGAAGGAAGAGGTGACTGTGTGCACCATCCCATCCAGTGAGCAGGCTTCCGGGAACACAGACAAGCATTCTGACAGCAAATCTCCAAAAGCTGCATCCAGCAAGGTCAGCAAAACTAAGAGCCATGCACAGAAAGAGACCAAAAGGATCAGGGAGAACCACCCCAAGAAATGTGATGAAACCAAGCAGCCAGGGAACAAAATCAAAAAAGAAGAAAAGACAAGCATTCCCAAGACCAAGCACAAGAGAAGTCACCCTGAGCTTAGCCAAGAGACCTTCAAAAGGCCTCGAACCAACCTAGGCGTGCAGATGTGGGAGTCGGTGCAGGTTTTCCATGCACTAGGGAAGAAAAATGAGAAGAAAAAGGAGCTGCCTTCTCCCAAGGCCTTGAGAAATGCCAGCAGCACACAAGAAACCAAGTCCACTCCAGCTGTGAAATGCTGGCTGGATATTCCCCATGAGGGCAAAGGCCCTAAAATTACTCAAGTCAAGAAAAGGGATAGGAGTGAAAGCCAGTGTCCATCACCAACCCAGGATGAGCTGCCTCCACCTGGGAAGGTCAAGCTGGTTCCTTTGCCTTTTCTAGCCCCGGAGAAGCCTCAAGCTCGACCTGTTTCTCGCAGGCCACAGTCTCTGGCCTCCCGGAGACCCACTGTACCTTACCGTGCTCTCCCTTGTTCTAACACAGCTCAGCCTACTCCAGTCAGCCGATCTCAACCAGCTACTGCCAACACATGCTTCATAGGTTCCACCAAAATATCGCAGCCAACTACAGACAAAACAATCAAACAGGGATTGACCACCACTCCCCAGCCTAGTGTGTATCAATCTACCATTGCTAGGCCTAAACCCTACGAAACATCATCTTCCACTTCTGTGCAGCAGAAACCTGTGTCAACTTCTGGGACCAAGTTCCAGTCACCACCTAAACCTCAAAGCCAGTATCTACTCCAAGACTTCAGCCGCCAACCAATTCCATGGAGGAAACCTGATATTCCTGGGCCAGTAGTATCAAATCCCATCACCAAGGAGCAGAGGCCAGAGCGTGAAGCCATGAAAAGGCGGGCCCAGAAAGAGCGTGAAATTGCTGCCCAATACACTGCTTTGGGGAAACTGCAGTTTTTTGCTCAGAGGCAAAGAGATATGGAAGTTTCTCAATATTACGGCTATGTAATGTAAGAGCTGCTGCGATTGTGGGATCCATATTGAATACCAGCTATTTTCCCGTATATATTTATATTCAAAGATATAAACACTGATATAGACTTATGATATATAGATATATTGATATACATAGTTTTTGATAGAATAAAATTATTTTAATGTACTTAAACTCAATAAAATTGAACAATTAAATGTAATGGAATTGAGTATAAGATTAATGAAGACGCCATTTGAGTTCTTTGATATTTCCAAAGTTTTGCTTGATTTTGGGTAGAGGTTGGAATCAAAGGTTGCATTGGAAAGAAGAAACTGAATTGTGTGGGTCACAGGGGAGGGTAAGGAAAAGGTTTAAGCACAGCAGAACTAACACAGTCCACGAGTAGGAAGGAAAAAGAGATTATATAGGCTCTTAGAAGAAACATGGATCAACAATGTGATAGAAGACATAAATTATGAGGTTGGTTTCAAAAATACAACTTAAAATATGTTAACAAGTGGCAGAAGAAGGGTCTAGAAAAACCACAGAAATGTAGACCTTTATGTCATATAACCAGTTAGAAGGGAAAAATCCACTTTGAAGCTAGGCTGTCAGGGTTCTTGCTTGTAATTCTAGCTACTCAAGAGAATGAGATATGAAGATGGAGATTCTAAGGAAGCAATGCAGACAAGTCACACTCTCTTGCAAATTGAGCAGCAAAGGGCAGAGAGGGGAGCTCAGGCTTATGTGGTAATGCAGTAGTACTGAATGAAAAAGCTAACTGAAAATACATCGGCCCTAAGTTGTATTGCCAGTAGTGGCACACAACACATACACATACACTCACACAAAAATATCAGTACAACTCCAACAGTCATGAGTTATCGAAGATTAGAAGAGGGAAAGGCAAATACATCATATGGGAGAATATACCACAGAAGAGCCAAGGGCTCCTTGTTATCCTGGGTACATTGGCTAGCCTGGGGCCTAGCCAAGTGAATTGCAGAAGCATAAAGCCCACCCAGAATATGGCCTCACCATTTATGACCATGTATTTATTCAATCCCCATGGACAAGGCAGGAAGATGTGCTCCTTCAATTAACCACCAAACACACAAGGCCAGTATCACTGTTCCACTTGATCAGTGAGGTTCAGCAATGGGCTGGGATCACGTTAAATGCAAAAGTCAAGGCCTCCAATGGAGGCCTGAGACTCTGAATTCCTGAGATTTCAAGCACTCTGGGGCTTCCAACCTGGCTTCCCTACTGAAATTCTGGTTGTTATGGGCGGACAAGATCAAATATATGAATAGATTAAATACTAAATGAGGGGCCATGTCCTACACTTCTCATTCTTGCAGGTGCTGCTTTCCTACACCATTTCCAACAAAGGAAGTAGACCAGCAATCTCTTCTTCTGGAGTCCACTCCAGGAGAATCCCAGGGAGACAGGCATTTGCACATGCACAGTCACTGCACTCAAGCTGCAGGGGCCTATGTTCGACTCTGTGCCCACAAGCGGCAGAGCTGGAGAGAGACTGGGTGATGGGGACTGAGATAGGACAGGAAAAGAGAATAGAGTAGGACAAGGACATAGTATGGAGGATCTTTGTGGGAAAATTACTAAGCTGTGTTTAAAAACATTTCTTGAGCTAGATGCTCTTGGCTCATGTATATAATTCTAGCTATCCCCAGTGTCTGAGGCCTGAGAATTGCTTTTCAAAGGCAGCCTGTGTAGGAATTGTTGGAGTTGGTGCTATGGCTCCTGTGGTAGAGCGCTAGCTTTGAGCTGAAGAGCCTAGGCCTAGAGTTCAAGATCCACGATCAACAACAACAACAAAAAGAACAAAAAAACAAAGCTTCTAAAATCTTACTGGCCAAAAACCAAAATAAAACAAAACAAACAAACGTTGGTTGTAAACATTGAGGGTGATTTCAGCTAGGGCTAACTTGTGAGGAAGCTAGCACCTCTCTACAGGAGCTAATTCCTTCTTACTTGCTCCTATTTTATTTTTCATTATCTCTTCCTATTTCTTTTAATTTCACTTTAACTGGTTTTTCTTTCTTTCTAGTCCTCTCCTTCTTCCTTTTCTTTAGTCTGTTGATCCTTAATTGTCTGGGACTTAAGACAGTATTTGTTTCCATTTTGACTCTATGTGGCTCATCCTGTTATCTTTTTTGGTTTGAAATGATTTATCTCTAACAATAGATTTGCTCTAGAGCTACAACTATATATAATCTCCTTTCCTGAACCACAATACTCCTCCTCAAACAAAAGCAAAGGAGTATTTAGGTAGAAAAGCTATGTATGATTTTAAACCTCTAATTTAAATTCTATGCAATTATAGAGCTCTGGGTTTTCTTTTTTTTACCCTAAAATGTGTTCTGTTGTGGTTTTAGATTTGCTTTTGTTTCCAAATGGGCAGAACCATAGAAACACAAGGAAAATGGCAAGTCAAAGAACCTCAACTCCCACACAAAATAACCAGGCAAGGGAACTGTAAATGAAAGATCTAGAAGCTAATTCTAAAAAATGCTTTGAAAAAAAATGCTGATAAATATTTTGTCTGGAAAGATAAAGTCTGCACAAGACTATGTGTGAGTGTGATAAGACCAACCAAAAGTTACTACAGGAATTCATGGAATCCACAAACAGAAAGCTAAATCAATTCCAAAAGAAGCAAAGCGAGTTCAATGAAAAAAATAGTCACTCAGCTAAAGGATATGAGTGAAGACACAGAAAATAAAATCAAGGAAGTAAAGAAGTCCATAAAAACCTAAAACAAATTATTAATAAGAGATTAAAGCCATCAGAAATGATCAATTACAAGGCAGGGAAATAAAATCCAAACTAGAAAGTTTTGACCGCAGATTGTGACAACAGATAGAGAAGACAGTCTCTGGAGTCAAAGATTAGACATTAGAGAAAAAGAACATATAATTACTCAAAACAAATACAATAAACAAGAAATGTCCTGTGTCAGGAGTTTCAGCGCTCAATCAGATGACCTAATTTGAAAATAATTGATATTGAGAAAGGTCAAGTAAAGGACGCTAAAGAAATAGGAACTAGCTGAGAAGTTAGCAAACATCCAAAAGGATAGGCCCATTCAGATACAAGAAAACTTTAGAACCCCAAATAAGCCAAACTAGAAAAGAACTGCCACATCCTAATCCACAGGATCACTAGAGACCAAGGAAAGGATCCTTAAAGCTGTCAGGGAAAAAAAGATAATTGGAAAACCAATCAGAATAACTACAGATTTCTCAGCTGAGAACATGAAAGCAAGGAGAACCTACCATGATGTATGCCATACCTTAAAGGAAAACAACTACCAACAAAGAATAATGTACCCAATAAAGGTCACTTTCATAACCAAAGGACAAATAAAAACCTTCATATCAAGGAAAATGAAAAAAAAAAAATCTCCACTAAATCAGTATTATAGAAAGTAGTTAAAGAATTACTACATATACAAAACCAACAAGAACACAAAACTGGTGTGGAAGTGGCCCCTTAACAGAGATCCATATACATTTATTAAGAAATGAAGAGGCACAGCCCAAAACAGTTCCATGAACTACCAAACACTTCTCAGTCTTAACTATATTAATTGGCTTTAACTCTCCAATTAAATTCCCTGCATTCTGTCACAATGTCACAAATGAGTAAAATCAAAGCTCAACACCAAAATCCACCACAGAAAATTATCTAACTCATCAAACATGAACAATACGTTGTTGAATGACCAGTGGCTCATTCAAGAGATCAGAACAGGGGCTGGGAAGGTGGCTCAGTGGTAGAGCGCTTGCCTTACACGCATGAGGCCCTGGGTTCGATTCCTCAGCACCACATAAGCAGAAAAAGCCGAAAGTGGTGCTGTGGCTCAAGCAGAAGAGCTCTAGCCTTGAGCTGAAGAGCTGAGGGACAGCACCCAGGCCCAGAGTTCAGGCCCACGACCTGAACAAAAATAAATAAATGAATAAATAAATAACAATTAAAAAAAAAAAAGAGATCAGAACAGAACCTCAAACATTTATGGAATTTAACAAAAATGAACACACAAAATATCAGCTCCTCTGGGACACAGAAAAGGCAGTACTCAGAGGAAAACTTATAGCTCTGAATGCCTACATCAACAAATTGGAGAAATTTCAAATTAACAAGATAATGAGGTGCCTTAAGCCCTTTGAAAAAGTTGAACAAGCCAACCCCCAAATCAGGACACAGAACAAATAAAATTAGATCAGAATTAGAGACCATAGGAAAAAAATGAACAACACAAAGAGTTGGTTCTTTATAAAAATGAACAAAATTGGCAATCCCTTAGCAAATCTGGCCAAAAAAATGAAAACACATCCAAAAACATAAAATTAAAGATGAGAACAGGAACATCATGACAGAAACAAGCAAGATCCTGAACTCCTTTTGTAACAGCCCCACAAAAAATAAAATACCTGGGAATTAACTTAAGAAGTGAAAGAATTTTATGATGAAAAATTTTAAAACCTGAAAATGGAAATTAAAGCAGAACTAAGGAAGTGGAAAAACCTCCCATGCTCCTGGATTGGGAGGATTAACATCATGAAAATGGCAATACAGCCAAAGCTATCTACAAATTTAATGTGATACCCATCAATATCCCAATTTCAATCTTCAATGAAATAGAAGAAGCAAACCAAAAATTCATATGGAACAATAAAAGACCCGAATAGCAAAAACAATCCTTAGCAGAAAGAACAGTGCTGGAGGAATATCAATACCAAATTTCACACTCTACTACAAAGCCATAGTAATCAAAACAGCTTGGTACGGGCACAAGAACAGACCTGAGGACCAGTGGAATAGAATTGAAGGCCCAGAAATGAACCCATAGACCTACAGAGACCTAATCTTTGATAAGGGTGCAAAAAAAAAAAAAAAAAATGGAAGAAAGACAGCCTCTTTGGTAAATGGTGCTGGCAAAATTGGTTTAACAGCTGTAGAAAAGTCAAGATAGATCCTTATATATCTCCCTGCACCTTAATCAACAGAATATGGATCAAAGACCTCGATGTCAAAGCAGACATCCTAAAATATTACAGGAAGGAATAGGAGAAACTCTAGGGCTCATTGCCACAGGCCGAAATTTTCTTATTATAGACCCAGAAACACAACAAATCCAAGAAAGGTAGGACAAATGGAATTGCATGAAATGCAGAGCTTCTGCATGGCAAAGGATATAGCTGGCATGATCAATGGAAAACCCATGAACTGGGAGAAGATCTTCATCATCTATACTTAGAACTAAAAAAGTTAATGCATAATAACAAATCTTCAAAGAAATGACCACCCTATTAATAAATGAGCTAAAGACAAAGAGAGACTTCCTGAAGAGGAAATAAGAATGGCCAATACACACATAAAGAAATGCTTGTCTAGCCATAAAAGAAATGCAAATCAAAACAACATTGAGATTCCACCTCACTCCACTTTAGAATGGCTACAATCAAGAAATCTAATAACAACAGATGCTGGAGGGGATGTGGCCAAAAGGGAACACTACTGCATTGTTGGTGGGAGTGTAAATTTTTCCAACCACTCTGGAAAGCAGTATGGATGTTCCTCAAAAGACTACACATGGAGTTCCCCTAGGACCTAGCAATCCCACTTTTGGGCATTTACTTCAACAATCACAAACAAGGCCATACTAAAGCTACCAGCACAACTATGTTTATTGCAGCATTATTTACCAAAGCTATGAAACCAACCCAGATGCCCCTCATTATATGTGCGTGTGTGTGTGTGTGTGTGTGTGTGTATATATATATATATATATATATATATATATACATATATATATATATATATACATATATATATATGTAACATATAATGGAATTTTATGCCTTCATCAGAAAGAATGATACCGCCCCATTTGTTAGAAAATGGAAAGACTTGGAAGCAATTATATTAAGTGAAGTAAGCCAGACCCAAAGAAACATAGGTCCCATGGTTTCCCTTATTTGCAATAACCAGTATACATCTAGGATAATCTTACCAGACAAGAAGAAATGGTCAAAAGCTATGTATATATGACCATATAAGATGATGCTAAGTGAAACGAACCCCAAGATAGGGACAGAAGAAGTTGTTTTTTTCTTTATCACTGTTGTTTTTAATGTACTATGTGATTTCTTTTGTTTCTTTTGTAAGTTCTTCCACCATGGTATAACCCCTGTCCTCACTGTATTTGATTTTGATGCCCTACATCTTGTATATACGTTTTTCTAATTTGGGGAGGGAAGGGAAATAACAAAATGCTGAAAATGGGTTATAGTTTGACCCATCGTAACAATGAGACATGCAAGACACTATTTTGAAAATGAACTTTACGAGTTCAGCAGGGGGATGGGTGGGGGGAAATGGAGGAGTTGGATAGGTAGGGAGGGAAGGGTAGTAGGGGAAAAACAAAGGAGGGAGTAACAATGCTCCATAGGAAATATACTCATTACCCATGTAACTGTAACCCCACTGTATTGTATCTTTCCAATAAAAAAAA